TATGTTTAAAGTGGCGGTTCATTCCAAGACGATAAATGGTGCCTTAAAGTATATGCCGTTAGAATTCCCCATACGTGTATTACCTTTGCCTTTGCCAATAACACATTCTGGTTTGGTTAAACATGTTATGAAAAAGTTAAGTTTATGTAATCCTTTCAGGTTATTTTATAAAAATAATTCCTTATAAAAATTATGAGTTAGGCGACGATGACAATGTGATGATGTTCCAGAATGTTGTTCATCAAAGTTTACCATAAATGTTGACACTCTTTGTTGTCGACGATGGTGGTTATGGTGGAAATCCATCAAGTGTCGTAATCCATCAAAGTTTACCCGACGATAGTGGTGCAAACCCATACGGTCCAAACACTTTTTACCTTGATGGTAGTGGTAGAAATCCAAACACTTTCTTCTTCGGTGGTGTTGGTGGAAATTCATATTTTGAACCAAAAAATTCTGTTGATCATGACAGTTATTTGGTTCAAGATTTGAACCAGTCTCTGAGACAGTCTCCTAACCATTACCTGATCTAGCCTCCCAAACAGTCAAAAACTTTGTGGGAGGTAAATATGGATGAATATGTTTCTGTTGCATAAGAAATTTTGAATAAACCCGAAGACGATAACTCAGATGTTGAAAAAATCCATCCAACACCTTGCCCATACCCTGTTATCAAACCTAGACAGGGAAACGTTTCCTACCAGCCTACATCCCATGTAAAAGTTCTCCAAACCTTTGATTCGAAGAAAACACTAAAGCTCGCATTGGGATTAAAATGTGCTTATGAAAACTTTCAGATAAAGGTCAAAAAATCAACCAAACACCGGTACGAGGCGGTGTGTCACCCTGCTTCAGACTGTGATTGGCGTTTAATGTTTGTTTCTACCGATGGTACCAGTATGTTTCAGGTTCAAAAATTGCATGATGAACACACATGTTCAAGGTCCCAAGTCCACCCAAACCACCGTAATGAGAATAAAAAGGTTTTGGGTCATATATTGGCAGGGAGTTTAAAGGATTATAGGAGAGTGTATCATGGAAAAGAAATTATGGAAGATGTAAACCAACGGTTCAATATTAGCATCTTCTACAGCCAAGCATGGCGATCAAAGATGCATGCCTTGCAATTGTTGAGAGGGAACCTTGAATCGTCGTTTAATCTACTCCAGTTTATTGTCATAATAAGAAGATAGCAAATATGGGGACTGTGATAGAGATCGCTCTTGATGGACACGGACGATTCGACATGTTGTTTGTCGCACGAGGTTGTTCAGTAATAATTTTTGTTATATTCTTGAATTCATGTCATAATTTAATGTTTTGAAGTTTATATTTGTAACCTTATTCATCTGCAGATTCGCTCGTTTCCAGAACACATGAGATCGCTCCTTATAATGGACAATGTCCATCTGAAGGGGCCATACGTGGGTACCATGTTCTTAGCGATTGACATGGATGGAAACAACTAGATCGTACCCATTGCAATGGGTATGAGGAAGACAAAAAGTGGCCCTTCATGGACATGGTTTTTATATAAGTTGAATCAATGTATCGGTGAAGTGCCCAATTTAACCTTCGTAACCGATTGGGCTACCTTTATCAAGTTGGACATAAGAACTATATTCCCCAACGCACACCACATACTTTGTTGTCGACATTTGAGCCATAACTTGCACCTAACCTCGAGTAGAGACAAAAGAAAAAGGTGGATGTTCTAGAAGGCATGCAAAGCTTATATGGTGTTAGACGTTGAAGCTACAATGGATTTGATGCAGCACAATGTACCTAATGCTGTTGAATATCTTGAGAAAATTGGTTACGCTAGATGGACAAGATCGCACTTCCCTGGATTGCGTTATAGTGCAATGACTTCCAATAGCACCGAGTCCGTCAACTCAGTAACCCGTTTGCACGTTACCTTCCGGTAATAATGTTAGTTGAATTTTATCGGGCGACATTGCAACAATGGTATTTTATACGTCGGCATAACGGAGGTAAATGGAGCCATCCAAAACTATATGTATGATTATGTAACATAGGCTAATGTTATCATTTATTTGCAACTCAAATGATAAATGCAGCGACGCCTTGGACGGAGGCAAAAATAAAAAAGAGAATCCATAGGAATGCAAATTGAAGGGGATACCCCATTAGCGAATTGTTGTTTGAATTTGATGACATATATAAGAATGGAAAGTGTGATTTGCATGCTAAGACTTGTACATGCATGCAATGACAACTTTCTGCTATACCTTACAGTCATGATATCTGTTGTTCGAAGTTTAGATATTCAAGCTTGTAGTCAATTTTGTTCGGTTTGGGTCAGTTTCGATTCTTATCGGGCAAAATACGAGGAGGAAGGAAAACCCCTTCCACTAGAAGCTGAATGTGTGTTGCCCAACGAACGTATGACTATCCTACCGCCTCCCATGGACATAAAAAATCTGGCAGACCACGCAACCACGACGTATCCCGTCATGAGACGAGGAATTAATAGTGAAAACATGTAGTTGATGCCACCATAGTGGACATTTTCAATATAATTGTCCAAGTCTGATGCCAACTCCTAGGGCGATGCGCATAAGTTCAAGTAGTCGTCGAAGATCAATTAGTCGAACAACCGATTGTGGTCCGTCTCAACCTGATATTATACAAGACTATGCATTTGATACTTACGATTTAAGTAAGTAAATGTGGAGCCAAAGGTTTTCAAAATGGTTATTCTACACTAACCTATTATTGTAATCTTTTTAACCTGATACTACACAAGACTATTATTGTCCCCCAAATCAGATACATGTGGGCCCCACTTTGGTACTTTTTTGGTTAAATCGCCCCCTTATGGTCAACATGCCCCCCGGGGTGATCCATGTGGTTATTTTATGAAAAACTTGAAAAAGTTGGCTATTTTGTTAACACATTAGGTATATTTTTGGTGAAAACCCCTTTCTTATGATAAAAAAGTGGAGCGTGTCATGTACGTTTGAGTTATTAAGCCACATGGTCTTATCATTTTGGGGATCAAATAGATACGGCTCATTTGAAATTTTAATAAGTTCTCTATACTCATATTCGAACGAGAATTATTATTGGGTCAACAAGAGTCGAGCCGCCTATAGGATGGTGATTGACAGGGGCATGTATTTAAGCAGATGACCTATTCCAAATCATGGTTTTGGTTTGGGTACCTTGCCGCTATTCCACGTTAGGACGCATGGTAGATATGCAAAAGAAAAACTCAAGCCCGAAGCTTGATCCAAAAACCCTAGACCTAGTAAGCCTGATCAAACCAACTTTTTTTTTCCTTCCAAGGCTTGGTTATAGTTTGACTAGAAAAAGGGCCGATTGGGCCCTCTTTTCCCCAAAGATGGTCTAACCAACTTAGACCTGAAAAACCCTAGTCTTTTTAGTTTATCGAACATGGGCTTGGAAGGCACACGTCAAAGCCAAGAAAACTTAGACCTTGCACATCTCTAATGCATGGTCACACTCCACAATTGTTGATCCTACATTTCGTTCATCAAACCCTAGTCATGTGTGTCTGACCCTAGTCCATTTATTCGATCTAGACTTGTTTGGGATAACACTACTAACAAACTATACTTATACCAATGAATCCATTGGAACCACATTTTTTCTGCTTTTGTGTTAAACTTATTTATTTATTTTAAATAAAAATTACTCGCTATAAAAGGATTTTTTTAGTGAACGTATCACAACTTCCTTTTATTTTTTCTCGTAAAAACAAAGAAAAATATTATATTTTCTCTCCTATTTACTACCGCACAAATCAATATATTTCTTTCTTTTCTCAAGTGACAACATTTGTATGACAAAGATTTATAATGTTAACCTTTTTTTGGTGGCTACCGACTAGACGAGGAAACTAAAAGTAGATAGGCATGACAACGGGGCGGGGATGGGGCGGGTTTTGTAATCCCCGGTCCCGGTCCCGACCCCGGTTCCCGACGGGTACGGTGATTATCATCCCGTCCTCGGTCAAATCTCTAGCAATCCCTGGTCAAAACCCAGTAAAACCTCGGTTAATCCCCACGAATAGTATTCTTTAGTTTGATTCTACCGGGGACCCCCGGCCTCAGTTTGAGTAACATCCCCGTCTCCGGTTTGAGTCTACCGGGGATCCTCGGCACTGGCATCGGGACCCGTTTAGCGGGGAATCCCCATCCCCGTTCGGGTCGGGTGAACCGGTTCCCCACCGGGTCAGGGCAAATCACCATCCCTAAAAGTAGAGAGGTTAAAACAATCAATTAGAAAGTATTAAGGATAAAACTGATAGAAACAAAAGTGTTGTGGTTGAATTGTCAATACAAATAAGTTAGTAGCTATTTCTGTAAATTAGCAAAAATTAAACAAGAGTTAAATACAAATTTGGTCCCTGTGGTTTGTAAAAATTAACGACTAACGTCCCTCAAAGAATATTTTAACGACCAACGTCCCTGTACTTTCCATTTTATAACAGATAGGGTCCCTGTTAGTAACGGCGTTAAAAAAAAGTATAGTTAAGAAGGGGTAAATTTGTCAATTCTTATTTTTTTAGTTTTGATAATAAAATTGGTGCC